ACACACATATATATATATATATATATATATATATATATGTGTCTGTGTGTTTTTTTAACAAATAAAGTAGCCATTTATGTATTACTTGAACATTTATACTGACATTGCTATATATGTAATGGTTTAAAGAAATCGCCATTTTGAAATGCATTTTGTAAGGAATGACAATTCTTATAGAGAACTTTTCTAAATTCTTCTAAATGTCATAGGAAAAACAAATTCGATTATCATCTACAAACTGTTAACATATATAATTTATTGATACATCATTATATATATATATATATATATATATATATATATATATATATGAGTAAAGTTTGTATGATAATCCGATGGAATTACAAATATATAAGACAATTTGTTTTTACTAAATTAACACTGAGGCAATGTGAGACGCAGAAATTAACACTGAGGCAACGTGAGACGCAGAAATTAACAGTGAGGCAATGTGAGACGCATTAAGCTTGAGAAATACAATGACGGCTAAAAACAAAAATATAAACTAAGCTAAAATTAGTTAAAATCTATTTTCTAAAATCATACGGATATAGTAAGAATCAAGCGTCCATATCGTTAACCTTTAACAAGGTTTGTGACGCTAATATAGATTTTTGCTGAAATAAATTTCTTTTTTCTGACGACGCCGATCCTTCAGCGAAACATGTCAAAATAGATGCTATCCAAAGGCATTTCGATATAACTTTCGCGAAATGAAATATGGAAAACCTGTTACAAACAGCATTAAAATGGATTTTTTTTCTTAAATTGGATGGCAAAACAAATCCAGAAAATAAAGTATGATCTGTTTTTTGTTTGTTTTTTAACAACTTAATCACTTTTTTTTTCTTTTAAATAAAAACAAGCATGAATTTATGTGACTATAAATGTTCACTATGAATAAACGTATATATTCTTGTGCTTTTAATTATAGCCGCAATTGATTTTCCCTTCAAAAGGAATGTGTCTGTTTTTGTCAGATGTTTGGTTTGAAAATTCTGAATGGAATGTTGACCTTTCACTGAATTTTGTCTTTATTTTTTAATCGGTTAATTTTGTTTTATCAATTTAAAAAAATTGTTCCATTTGTTGAATCATTTTTCTTCGTATCAACTATTAACAACTTGGTGCCAATGAATCCAGATCTGTCATTGCTTCGAAACGAGTTTTCCCGTGTTCAAATAACCCGAGCGATTTCCACGTCCTTTATTGGTCCTGTTTATCAAGCGGCGGGTCGCGAAACAAAAATGGCAGTTCCGATATTTTAGCTGCAGGGATTTAGTATGGATGTGGAATCTCTGTTCGTCACACCAGAGAATTTTCTTTCTTTTTAAAAAATATTTGTCGAAAATGCAAACAAAAACAGAACAACTTAAACAATTTCTTATAATAAATATTTCTTATTGTAGATTGTCCGAAACTCAATATCTTTATTTTCATTTTTTTTTTCTACACACACGCACGTCTTCAACAATTGAAGATGCATTTAACGAATGAATATCCTCTTTTGCCAACCACCTGCCTGTGACGTCACCATAAATTATAACGGCTAGCGACGAGTTTAATAATGTAACGGAATATGGGAAAGACGACATGTCTACACAATCATAGATCTTGAATCTGATTAGAAGCATAACTGAAAAGGCTTCATCACAAATATTTGGACATCATCTTTGAGTTCAAACATACATACTCTTCAAAAACAGTTAACTGTATGTTTTAAAAATGGTCGTTTTTCATGAAATGTATATATATATATGTGTGTGTGTGTGTGTGTGTTCTGTGTGTATGTGTGCATACACACACACACATAAAAAATAAAGTTTACATTTTTTTCACAAATTTACTTTTCTTTTAATCACAACATGTATACATTTTATAAGAATGCTTTTGTTTTACTCTGCCTACGCAGTAATGTATATTTGCACGCACACACACACACACACACACACACACATATATATATATATAAATATATACAAAACATATATTCGCATACTTGTTTGTCTGTAATGGTGTATATATATATATATATATATATATATATATATATATATATATATATATATATTTATATATATATATATATATATATATATATATATATATATATATATATATGTATAGTTAATAACGAATATATATATATATATATATATATATATATATATATATATATATATATATATATATAGAAAGTAACCCTCGAAAGTGAAGTCTGAAGATGCAGCGAAAAAATAAAAACTGGTGAAATAAATTATAATTAATGGAACCTTAAAGTGGTGTGTTTTTTCTTTAAATTATATATATATATATATATATATATCTTACAAGATACAAATAAAATTTATGTATGTGTGTATGTGTGTGTCAGTGCACGCGTGTATATGGCTACTGAAAGCTGTAATCATGTTAATATGTGTGTATTCTCACGCAACGTATTTGGTTGTTGTTTCCCTTTTCAACGATATGGTGGAAAATCTTGCCGAAACTGGTTCAGATCCAATGCCGTAGTCTATTGCTGTCTTGCCCATTTCCGTTTATCAATTCCACATTTGTATCATTTTTAATTTTGTCCTTGTCTGACCGCGCGTTTCTGACGGCCATATCACAAGTCGATAGCGACGGACATTCAAGTGTCGTTTTACTTCCAGATATATTGATTCAAGATCTTTTTTCTTATTTCAATTATAAAAGTCTGTTTCTTTTTATATTTATTTATGATCACTTGAACGGTGCTTCATTGATCCCCAGCCAACAGTAAATAATCTGCCCTATAAGAACTGGTTTCATTGAATCCTTATTTCATTTAGTCACTGTGTTATTAAGTAGAGACATTTTCAAAGAGTTACGCTCATACATCTCCGGACAATTATTCTCTAAGTCCCGTTTAATGAACTTCTCGACTGCTTTCTTATTGGCATAGTTGTGTACGACAGGTGTCAGGTAAGCGTTCACATCTGACGAGAACACGGAAATGCTGCCATAGGCATCTTCGCTGTCCTTATCCAGAGATGAATCTAGAAAGAAAAGAAACCAAAAGAATTAAAGATCAAATGTATTTTAATACTTTATCATATGCTATGAATTACTCAGACTAATATCCTCAGTGTTATACGGTTTTAATAAACAAGTTTTGCATTATGAGGTGTGACAATTTAAATCCCTGATAGGCCCTGTGAAGTGAAGTCTGCTTACCTGGTCACTATTACTGTCACTTTCAAAGTACTATCCTTGTGAAGCTATGTAATTCTTGAGCCTGGCATCTTGACTTCCATCATTTTCTCACTGACGTGACGTGGTCTCCTGTATTTTCTACAAATATCTTTATGGTAAGTGTTCTGATGAACTTTTCTCCTTAGTGCCCCATAAAGTTAAGCGTACTTCTAGACTGGCAACTAGGTCTCACTGTTTTGAGGTTGAACTAGTTAAATGCAACCGTATGTTCTGATCTTCTAATATGTTCTAATTTTCTTTTCTCGCCCTTCTCGCACCTGAAATTACCTTTCGATTTCTTGCTACGCTGTAACCTAATACCTTCAAAGATTTAAATGCAGCGTCAATCGCCATCTTCTAACTTCCTGAATTCTGTTTTTTGTCCCCCCCTTCACTTCTCCTCGCTAAAGTTTTCTCATTCTCTTTCCCTCCGTGTAACTCCTTGCGTTCTAGTAGTTTTATCGCCTCGCTTGCAGTGAAATGATAAAAATGCCTATTATCAACTTGTGTCTTCCTGAAGGCTATTCTTTTATTGTTTTTTCTTCTCACTAATATTTTGTCATCTTCTTTGACTCTCAGCAGACCCTTTCATCTTAGTAGCATTATCATCTTGTTTGGAGTTAAAGGATTAAAATGAAAATAAAAACGGGGATCATACCATTACTGGAAACTTTCTTGGAACTCATTTTCAGTAATGTAGTCGCGTGTTGCTAGATGCTCGGTATTTTTCTCTCCTATCAGTCACATACATAATCATTATACTCTGTCCCCAGTTGCACCTGTTCTTTGTAGCTTTCATTGATCACTTCTTGCGTCATCGTGCACACTTCACCTCTTCTTGATCCGCCTTTGTCACTCAAAAACACTCGATTTCTTAATAGAATGTTTCACCTTAAGTCATTTTTAATAGCTTTCCCTACTCTTCAGGCAAAATAAAAGGAGTAGAATTTCGCCTTTCGTCGGATTCACTCTTCTCCTTTGAACAGGTGTAATGGTTTACCCCTTGTTTCCTGTTTAGGATTGGATTTGCGGTTCCTTCTAAAGTCTTCTCATTCTCTTTTACTTCCAGTAACTCAATGCGTCTGAGTGGCATTCTTGCCTTACTTGGATGAAATGATTAAAAAAAAAAGAACGATATCAATCCGCTACTCTAAATGCTTTCCACTCATTTTCCGCTAACAATATAATATGAATCCGCTCGACATCGAATGATATATGACGTGCGTTTCAAGAAAACATAAGTTATAATATATCTGGGCATAATCAAATACAAATATTTTCTTAGCTCATTATCCGATAAACACGCTGTGGTCTTTTCCGACATTGAATTCTCACACCTCGTATATGTTTTTCGGTGTCCTTTACTTGGTGACGACATGATGTGGTATTTTACTAAGGATATCTGTGAAATAATATCCTCAATTTTCTTTTCTTTTATCGAGTTCTTTAAAGTCATCTATGGAATATGTTCAATTCTCGTAATGTTTCGTTGTTTTATTCACACCCTCTTGTGTGTTAATTACAGTTATCTCCAAGTATAATATTCAACGTTGCTTTTATGATAAGCATGCGAGTAGTGTTTAATAACGACACTGTATCCAAAGAGTTAAAACTGGGGAGACACAGGAGCAATAAAGAAATCAAATAGAATAGCATAGAAATCGAACTTACGAACGAAAAAATCAAAATATAAAAAAAAATCAACGGGAGAAGAAAAAAATTCTAATGGAATAGTCAGTAAACAGAAATGAGCATCAAGAAAATCGGGAGGAACAATAGAAAGATTAACAAGGTATCGAGAAGAGTAATATAGAAAAAAAATTGCAGTAAAATAATCGACGGGAGTAGCAAAGAGGAGATAAATTGAAGGGAGTAGCAAATAAATTGAAGAGGGTAGCAAATAAATTGAAGAGGGTAGCAAATAAATTGAAGGGAGTAATAAATAAATTGAAGGGAGTAGCAAATAAATTGAAGAGGATAGCAAATAAATTGAAGGGGGTAGCAAATAAATTGAAGGGAGTAGTAAATAAATTGAAGAGGGTAGCAAATAAATTGAAGGGGGTAGCAAATAAATTGAAGGGAGTAGCAAATAAATTGAAGAGGGTAGCAAATAAATTGAAGGGGGTAGCAAATAAATTGAAGGGAGTAGTAAATAAATTGAAGGGAGTAGCAAATAAATTGAAGAGGGTAGCAAATAAATTGAAGGGAGTAGCAAATAAATTGAAGAGGGTAGCAAATAAATTGAAGAGGGTAGCAAATAAATTGAAAGGAGTGGTAAATAAACTAAATCGAATAGCAAATAAATTGACGGGTGTAGCAAAGTAATCGAAATGGGTTTCAAAATATAACAAAGCGAGTCACCAATAAACTGAATTGAGTTGTAAAGAAATCAACGGGAATAGTAAAAAATCGATAGAGAGGAAATAAAATGATGAAAGTAACAAAGAATTCGATAATGAATAGCAAATAAATCAACTAAAGTAGCAAAGGAATCCAAATAAAGAATAAAGAGATCCATGGGTGTTGTGTAAAAATTATTTTAAATCTCAACATCTTCTGAGTTGTTTTCATTGAATCAGAATATTTGACCTTCAAGTTAACTAAATTTACAATGTAAAACAAGCAATTTCATTTATACCACAAAGAACAATTAACCTCATCTTTTTTTTCAAAACTGTAACTAAATTCTTAATTTCAATTATATAATTCTAATTCAAAATGACCATTAAATTGTTTTTGTTCAGCTGATGAGCAATTACACAAAAAGATGAGAATAGATCATTTACCTCCTGCCTTGTTTTGAGGACACACAGTACAGTGCACTGGTTTTGTCGCCTTATGTAAGAAGCCGTCCATCTGTAGGTAGCCCTGAGGAAAAACGGAAAGAAAATTAATGCAAAAAGAAAGTTCTACTCAGATAATTTTACCCAATAACTGTCAATTTGTAGCACAGCCTTCCTTGAACAATTCCGTCTTAACTTCTTTAAGTCAAAGGTCAAACATTAACTTCCACCTTATTCTCCTAATGTTTCACTCTTTCCACCACCACCCCACCCATTCATATTCCACGCCACGTTCATTAATTCAACTGTAATTCTCTACCCTGAATGAAATTATTGGTAAAATTTAGTAAAAGAAAATCGGGGTCTGTACTATTGTATATTTATTTACAATATGACGAACAGCTTTAGATTTGCATAATAAAAGATCACATCATAAGCTATTGCAAATATTTCTAATAAAAATCAATATTATGAGCACAGTGGTGTAATGGATAGCGGCTCGGATTGAGGAATCGGAGAGCCGAGTTCGAATTCCAATCCATTACATTCACCTTACGAAAGGTATGAATACTCTTCTTCCACCCAAGCTATGGATAAATAGCAAAACAGACCTAGTTCCTTAGATGGCAAATGATCTACCGCAGAAAGAAATACCTATTGCGAGAAAAAATCTACCTCGTCAGTCATGTATCGAAAGATACACCATCGCCTATGCGTGTATCACGTATGGCGCATAACTGATTATAAATTTCCATGATGTTGTTATCATATAAATAAAAGGAATCCCTGAAAATTCTACCTGTATTAGTTTGTTTTGCTTCAATTCTTTTGTAAAAACATTGATTGCAAAAAGAAATTTTAGAAATAGAGATAAGATAAGAATTGTATCATGCATGCCTTTTACTTGAACTTAAACACAAACTTCCGGTAAAATATCAACCACAAGACAGGCTGTTTTTACTCGTTTCTTCACCAACTACAAGGCCTGATATCCCCTCAAGGTAGAGTGTTACTGAATAGGTTTGTTTTATGTACGATAGAAATGTAGATTATGAAGATATGAAGGATAGATAATGACTGACACTAGAATATAAGGGATTAAGATTATAGCGGCTAGGAAAGAATCTTTTCAGGAGTTTGATTAACAAAGCAGCAATTCTTGGGAAGAAGCTGTCAAAATTGAACTTCCTTCTTACCAACGGAATACAAAGGTTATTAGTATGGTTCACTTCGGTGTACATGGCGCAATGAGCCCTAGTTGTGAAGGACTGAACTGGTGGAACTAAGGATTGTTGCTCGTCGGAACATTTGTCATGGAAATGTCGATTGACTTACGACGTTGCGTCTTTGGGGAAGGGGTTGTAGGATGGAAAATAATTCATCACCGACAAGGCCGCGTAAACAGTTTTCAACTGGAAAGATAGGATTGAGCATCTCCAGCCAAGATATGGTAGCAATACAGCATATACAGAGCATGAGACCAAATTGAAAAAGTGATCGAGACTATGATACTTCCAATGATCGCCTGCCTTGAAATCAATATTCGCAATGGTGTCTTTTACCTGACCCCGAGCACCAACCAGTTGCATTAATAAGATTGATTAATTCATTTTCTAATACTTATCAGCAGCTTATTTAAAGCCAGAAAATATTTTTAGATTGTGAGAAATAATAATGGTTCAGTGTACAAGTCTTACTAATTAACCCATAGCTGGGGTAAAAAAGGTTGCTTCATGCCTTTCCCAAGGGTGTTGTACATAATTCAATATAACGAACGCAACTTGAATTCGAACCAGGATTTCCGATTAACAATTCCGTGCCATTATCTGTTACACCATCCGCACACCCAAGCTTACAGCACCTGGTATTCCCAAGTGGTCACCAATCTGGTTACTGACCAGGCCCGATTTTGCTTAACTTTGTTGATCGTACTAATGTTTCAACGTGATCTGGCCGTAAACCTGTACCAATTGGAAATGCGTAAAGAGCTCAAGTACGAGGCTGAACCCTTTGAAACCTGCGTTCCTGATCAATTTTGACTCTTCTGCCTGAGCTCCTGAGTCAAAATTCGCAAATAATTGGTACGTAATATTTCACGGTAGATATAAAATTAGATACAAGTGTTTCCTCACCGTTCAACCGGTGGCTGGGCATTAAGGCATTTTTGTCTACCACCGGTAAAGCGGTGGTCAGGGCTCAAAGTGTTAACCCAAAAACACTACTTTATAAATTACCGTGTCAATAACACAGAATCTTATATCTTGTTGAATAAATATTTGAATTCCTGTAGTTTATTAAACTTTCCCACGTAGTTAACCAATATTAAATACTTCCAATGTAACGCTTAGGATACATACCGTTCTCTCTTGAAGCAGCCTATCGAAAATATCTGCTAAGTCCCCGAAGGAAGGCCTCTGAGCTGGTTCTGTCTTCCAGCATTTTTGCATTATGGCATATCTGAAATAAACAAGTACTCGTGTATATAGCGTGTCAAGAATTTAAAATAACGACAAACTACATTAAAGTTTTGGTCCATTAATGATCACGTGACATATAACTTTTATAGACACTTTATGAATTATTTATTAACATCATCGAAATTTGCCGACTGCTTCCGAGATTTTCCGATCTTTCCTATTACAAAGATGAGAACCATTCTTGACAACTTCATGGCCAGTATTATAGAGAGACATAAATTAATCAGTTCGTCGACTTACATAATACAGAAAATACCCGCAGTTTTCGAAGACAACTTACTGGAGATAACGAAGATATATACTTATATATAAACTTGTCATGATGTCCATCTTTGACAAGTACAACAGGGACTAAAATAGGCTTAATATCTATGTGTGTATATGTTTTTATAGAACAAGTACAGGTTTTGTTAGTGATTTATTTATGTATTTTATTATACTCGTTGTAATGACAAAAGTTTGTAGGTGTAGGCCTTAAAAAAGCTTTATTCAGCTGAGAATACAAAATTCGCGTATAGTGTCCTTTTATAGTCCCAGTAAACAGAAGTAGCTCTCTCAAAGAGGAGAGTAGCAAAACAAGGGGAGACCACTGTTGAATATTCATAACACACGTAAATTAGTTTGGACAAAAATATAATTTACATTTGGTCTTCCGCCCGTAGAGTGTCTGGAAACAGTTCATATTTAATTCCCCTGTATCATGTTTCAGCTTTCAAAAATTGATAAACAGTGCGTATTATGCAGGAATAATTTAAGCAAGCATCAATGTATAAAGAGATTTTCAGTATTACAAACTACCTGTTTGGTCTCTGTTATCATGTAATGGGATGCTATTTTGGCACAGTCTGAAAGCACTTCGGGGACGGAACACGGTGATCGTCAAAAGAAGGTCAATATTACAAGAATGCACATTGCACACAAATATACACGCGCATGCGCACGCGCAAACACACACACACACACACACAAACAAACAAAAAGATTGAGGCGAGGCTAGATGTGATGACATCTTGTGGCATAAAATCCATCAGATTTGTCCATTGTCTTTATTCCTAGTGTCTTTATCTACAGATATATTTTTATTTAAAAACACTCCAGGCATTTTTATTTAAAAACACTCCAGGCTTTTAAGGTTATTTTCCAACATAGCGGGAATGCAGGTTCGGTTCATGTTAAGAATGAGTATTTTAATAGAACTTTCGATTGGAAATACATGCTAATTTCATTGTTGTTGTTTTTTTGTTTTTTTTAAAAAAAAGGGATGTCTACTTAAATACGTGTGCCGACTAAATATAGCGTTTATAGTAATAAATTACCTTCTTTTTTGAACACTGGTCATTCCTTCTATTTCATGGCGAGGGTTCAACATGTGGGTACAGCACAACAATTTGCCAGAACAAAGATCACACGAACAAAATAAATTGTAGAATTCAGTGCTTAACGTTATGTTTTTTTTTCCTGTCGCTAAAAATATTCTTATTTAATCAAAGATGAGGATATTATTTCAAATTATTTGTCGGATGTGTATCTCTGGTAATCAGTAGATATCGCCTAAAGAAAACAAAAGAAACGTTACTTATATTTACAGGATTACAATTTTGTGGGAACTAAAATCATACCATAATCTGTTTAGGATTTGGGTGTCTTGTTCCTTCTAAGGTCTACTTTAACACTGTACTAACCTTAACTCTGAAATTTTATTTACTTTTTTTTTCTTTCCTCAATAGGAGTAGATAGGTTTGCCTATCGTTCGGTTTACACTCCTCCCTGGTCTTTTCAACAAGAGTAAAGGTATGGCCTTGTTTTCCGTTTAGGATTGGGTTTCCGGTTCATTCTCAAGCTTTTCGCCTTTCTCTCTTAGTGGTAATATCTCCTTGCTTGGGTTGGTGCCTCTTACTCTGTAACCCTCTACGTCGAATGGCTCTTGAGCCTTTTATATATATATATATATATATATATATATATGTGTGTGTGTGTGTGTGTGAGCGCACGCGCGTCCGTGTGTGTGTGTGAAAATTCAGATATAAATAAAAATATATCTGTAGATAAAGACAATAGGAATAAAGACAATGGACAAATCTGATGGATTTTATCAAGGCAAATGTAAGGATTTTATTTTGCAACAAGTATTTATAAATTTTGTGTTTTATATATATATATATATATATATATATATATATATATATATATATATATATATATATTCAAACATATATTGTTAAATATAACAGACAACAGACAACGAATGTCTATTATGTTTGATCATGAGCTGTTCTAAGCTTGGTATAGTTGTTTTAATTTCGGGAGAAAATAAAGACAAAAACTGTCCAACATTTTGATATTTTTTATTATGCTGTGCCTCGATCTAAGTTTTTATCAGAATGTTTATATGGACATTACAATATCTTCTAATTATTATATGGCACATTTAGAAAATAAAATACTTAATGGCACTAATAAACTCTCTATCTATGTAAGATAAATAGATGGCACATTCTGTTTAGCTAGAAATATTGATCAAATTACACAACTTAAAAAAGTATTTGAAAGTTACTCCGTCCTCAAATTTACACTAGAACTTAATATTAATAATAAAATTCCATTCCTTGATGTATTTATTGATTCCAGTACACATAAATTTATTACTTCCCTATATAGGAAATCGACTAGCATTAACTCGTGTCTTCATAATTATAATAGTGAATGCCCCCAATGATATAATTTAGATGTTATCAAAAACTTAATCCAACGTACAAAAATATCTTCTTCCAAAATCATATTCTATAAAGAATTACATAACATTAAACAAACACTTGTTAATAATGGATTCCCTAATTCTATCATTGATCAACAAATTAAAATATATCTCAATAAATTTAATAATACCTCGAGCAAAATTGATAATATTAATAATTATTGTAACCATAATAGTGTACGTCAAAATAAACATAGTACTATTAACTTATACTATTCATGCATAATAAATAAATATGCATAATAATTAAAAACATGATGAAACGTAATAGGTAGGAATGTTAAACCCATTAATAATAATAAACAATTTAAACTCATCATATATTATAAAAATGTAAACCAATTGACCTCAGAGTTTCTAATAAACATACAACCACACAACTAAATCCTCTACATGAAACCAATGTAGTGTATCAATTTACATGCCCGTTCAGAGATTGTATCTCTGATACTAATAATAAACCCACTACATATATTGGTTTTACTACAGCCAAGCACTCCCGTAGACTAACCTGTCACCTTTCTGATCTTAGTTTCATTGAAAAACATTTCTTTGAGAAAAATAGCCATTTAGATAGTATTAGACAAATATTAGTTGATAACACAATACTCACACACACACAGTAAAATACCTTCAGATATTCGAGGCCATCTACATGAAAACAAAGCCACACGTACTCAACAAAATTACATTTCAAACTAATCACAGCACATTACGCTGCACCTAAATATATGGTTCTGTCGTTAATATTTCGTTCTCTCACGTGGTACGACGTCATTGAATCGCGTCATGAATTTACGACTTGCGTCTGCTATTCTATAACTGTTATCTTCGCATAGCAAACTTCTATGTAAATGTAACAGGATATCATCTTTGATGGTGAACATCTTTGTTGTAATGTCTATATAATCACTCTGATGAGGGTTCATGTGAGCTGAAAGCTTAGATCGAGAAACAACATAATAAAAATATCCAAATGTTGGACAGTTTTGTCTTTATTTTCTTCCGAAATTAAAGCAACTATACGAAACTTAGAACGGCTCATGATCAAACATAACAGATATTCGTTGTCGGTTATATTTGAGTAATGATCTGCTGCCACAAACACTATATATATATATATATATATATATATATATATATATATATATATATTGTCTTTATTCGTGTATATATATATATATATATATATATATATATAGAGAGAGAGAGAGAGAGAGAGAGAGAAATAGATGGAGAGAAAAGAAGAAAAAAGAAAAGAAATATATATATATATATATATATATATATATATATATATATATATATATATATATAATAAAAACTTAAACACTAATATTCCATGGTCATAATTTATTCCATTGGAATCGTAAATACGATCAAATCATCAGACCTACAAATTCAAAAACATTTTGAATTTGTAGGTCTGATGAATTGATCGTATTTATGATTCCAATGGAATAAATTATGACCATGAATAGTTTTATTTTTTATTATATCCTTACTCTGTCCTAGACATTGAGTTCTACCTGGATTCTTCTTCTTGGAAAATTTTTTTCTGAAAATATACATGTATGGGTATTTTTATATATATTTTGCATATGTATGTATATTTTCCACTAATATTATCTATCTATCTATATATATATATATATATATATATATATAGATAGATAGATAGATAGATAGATAGATAGATAGATAGATAAAGAAAGAAAGAAAGAAATTGAAGGACACATAACTGATAGGAACAAAAGTAGATATCAAGTCTGATGGATATAAAGATAAAGAAGTCTGAAGCCATAATGGCAGATATCTTTACTGCCTTCCTCTTCGGGCCTCAGCCTCTTTCTAGTTGAGCGTCTCTGTGTTACAAAGCGTTACAATGAATTATGTCTCCACTTCTTCTGAGTCATTCTTGGGACAGTGAGTCAAACCATTGAAATCCAGAGAAGATTTCGTTGACTTTATAACAAACAAATATTTTGCCATAAGTAGTTCAAGAGCTCTCTTCCTGCTTATTCGCTATCAATCAACCAGCAACATGGAAATCAATCAAACTTTTACAAAAGTATTTGTTCTTTCCTCTTATTCACTTTCCGTGCCCTCTCTCTCTCTCTCTTTCTTTCTTTCTCTCTCTTTCTTTCTTGCTCTCTCTGTCTTTCGTATGCTTTGATTTGAAACGATTTCTTTCTTTTTTATTTTCTTCTCTCTTTTCTTCATTTGCATAAACAACGAAAAACCTCTTAACTTTTGTTTGCAAGTAAAACAGACAATTTGTGAGTTACTGACGTAAATACCAAAATAGAAAAACTGTTTCGTATTAGTCTTTCCTTTTCTTCACTCGACGTTTTTATCTTTCTTTTTATTTGCCATGTTTTTTTGTATTTTTTTTAAAGGCGACCACTTTTTTTATAGCGTTTTCTTTTAGAAATTTAAATGATGAAAACCTTCATAGAATTCATTTTCGACATAATATTCAAATAAATAGAGAAAGATTAAGAGAGTTATATCCAGAGAGAAAGCGAGGGAAACAGAAAGACAGTGAAGAACTGTCTATGGTAGCCAGCTATCTACAGAGATAGATGTTTGTATATGAATGAGATATTTAATTGTATATTTATTTTTCCTCTGTTCCTCTTCTCTCTCTCAACTCTCTCTCTCTCTCTCTCTATATATATATATATATATATATATATATATATATATATATATATATATATATATATAGAGAGAGAGGGGGAAACCAGAGTCAATAGCTGATACCCCCTAAAGAGTGTATATATACACACATACACATACATACATACATTCATATATATATATATATATATATATATATATATATATATATATATATATATATTATGTAATGTATTATATCCAACAAATACTTTAATATATTTCTGTTTATACGTTATTTTTATGGATACAAATTATTTGAATAAATGATCTTTTTTAATTAAACAGTATTAATTACATTTACCATCCTAAATATTCGAGAAAATTCACAGAAAATATGCATTCTCAGACAGGAATCAATACTGGTTCGAACCTCTTTCAGCTCTTCTGTAGTCACAGAAATTGTCTGTCAGCCATGACTTGTTTCTTCTGCTTGTGTGGCATGGTGCAGTGTCCAGTTGTCAGGCGTAGGTTTTTCCAGCAGACACCCTATTGACCCAGGGCTGCACGACATCTTCAAGGTACTTGATGTAGGCCTTCATGTTAAGTCTAAGGCCGTGTGGTAAGATGAATGGCGGCATAACTTCGCCATCAGTAGTCATCACTCCAAACACCTTCGTAATCAGCATTAGACTAATCCAACTATTTCCGTATCCTTTGCACTTTCCTCAGATTAATGCCCAAACACAGAAATGTTCATATTGAAGCTTCCAGTGCAAATGGCAAGGAGTACAGCACGCCGTTTTCAAATTTATGGAGGAGTGAATTGCATCATGGTGGTCTTTTTCTCACAGACGGTGCCCAACCGATCCTACTATATCGTGCAGTCGACAAAATCAAAAACAAAAAATGCGCATGCTCGTAATTAAAAATATAAAATATATATAAAATGGCGGCAAGTTACCCATCTCAACCCTTTATATATAATTTCT